TCTTACTTAATAATAAAAAAAAAAAGATTATTATTCAGATCATTGCTTTGGAATTGTCCTTTCATTACAGAACTTTGGAAGAAATTTTTTAGGGATGTTTGGAGTCAGTTTGGTTACTGCCAAAGGTTGCAAGGACATCTTAGGGAAGGTGCTTGTTAATTAGTCCCCTCACCTCCATAGAAAAGGGGTTTTCTTTGGCAAGAAAATTTCTTCCCTATCTTATTGAAAGGAGTTTTAGAGGTACAAAAGTCTGGGGAGAAGCTTTGGAATGTGGTGTATTTCAATGCCCCTGTCATACTCATCTTAAAAAGTATTGTATTTATCCCTTATTTTTAATTCTCACCAATTGGAGCAATCTTATATAACTTGCTTTTGTTTTGTCCTGTTTGCTCCTTTTGTTGGGGTTGTTCTTTTCCATAGGCCCCTCTGTATTTTAATTTGTTTCCATGAAAGCAAGTTTCTTAGTTTTAAAAAAAAGTTCAATATTCTAAACAATTTAGAATTGTCCTTCATTCATTATTTTTTTAATTTTTTTTCTTTGATCACAAAAGAAACTTAATATCATTACCGTAGGGCTAAAGCTCTAACCTGAACCATAACGACGCAAGTCAAGGTACCACCAGAAGCTATCTTTATTGAGTTTCAAGTCATCCAGACGAGCTTCCAAATAATCAAGCCGTTCTTCTCTTTGACTTCCACCTATAAGCTCCCCTATCTGAAGAGGGAGGAGGAAAAATAAATGATAAGAACAATACAACTTTATATGCTACCTTCAATTGATCTACCAAAGTTTGAAAATAATACAGCTAAGGCGATGATATGGTTTGATAATAATTGTGCTCGTGGGAAGGAAATTCATAGGCACAGGAACAATGAAAAAGTTCTAGAGTAAAAGAAGTTTCCCTTATATTTCAAAAGTAATCATAAGAAAAATATATTATTAAAATTTAAATGCATATCAAGAGACATGCTCTCTGAAAGCTACTAAATTAGTATAGCATGTATACCCATGGAATACAAGTGAGCAAAACACATTAACTGGAGTGTCGAGCACACTCCTTACATTATACTCATAGCCCATTGAATTAATCTTCAAGGAGGCTTAATGGGCGAAGCTCTCGGATAAAACAAGAATTTTAAGTTACTAAGTTTCAATTGGAGGCAGGAACCAGACAAAAGGTATCTCCAAATTTTGTTTCAGTTTGGTAGAACGAAGGAATAAAGGAGTGATCACAGGAAAAATGGACCTCAACAACAAATAAGTCTGCTTGACAATTGCAATGATTAGAGTATGTTTAACAGAGAGAAGGCAGCCCCACATGACACTGAAGATGATGATCAGTTGTAGAAATGTTTTTCATCAACTATTGACTCAATTGCAACAAGTCTTTATCCTTTTTCTTATGTATACCAACAAATTCCTTCCTTGTACTCGTGGCCTTTTAGAATAAAATGATAGTATAGAAATAACCAATGATATGGAAAAAGGGATCTCAATCTCCAGAGAGAAGGCAGCCCCACATGACACTGAAGATGATGATCAGTTGTAGAAATGTTTTTCATCAACTATTGACTCAATTGCAACAAGTATTTATCCTTTTTCTGATGTACACCAACAAATTCCTTCCTTGTACTCGTGGCCTTTTAGAATAAAATGATAGTATAGAAATAACCAATGATATGGAAAAAGGGATCTCAATCTCAAGCTCTATAATTAAGGAACCAGTTGAGAGAAGAAAGAGGACAAGTTCCTGACCTTGCATATTAATCAAAAATTGAAAATGAGATAACCCATTGAAATTTTTTCCCCAACTACTTAAACTGTTTCTATGTCTGATATCCTGGAAGTTAATTCCTTGAACGAGCTACACAGAAAAAATATTTTTTTTTCTAGAGATATAATTAACATAACATATTTAGGATTACCCGAGGAACCAACATATCCATGGCTGCGACAGTCTTCCCATCATCATTTTGCCGCATGTAGAATGCTTTTATCTCCTATAGTTCCACATCGATTGGGAAAATCAGTTTAATTTCTATGATCAATACTTACAAAAGTTATAAACAAAAAGAAGAGCATCCTACCTTTGGGTAGTCTCTGATTATAACAGGGCATCCACCAAATGCTTCCTCGGTTATATATCGTTCATGTTCGCTTTGCAAATCACTCCCCCACTTAACCTAAGAAAATTTTTAAAAAGCATAAGACCAACACAGCAATGGCCACATAACAAACGTGACTGACATATAGAAGTATCATCATATAAGAAATGATGTGAGTATTACAAATATAAAAGTAAAACGTATATGTTATGAAAATAGAAAATCTTTACACCAAGAGTGATACATGATGGCCACCTAAAAACAAATTCGACTCTCCTGTTTGTTGAATGATAAAGGATTTTCATTCTCTTACTCATTGCTATTTTCTATTCGCAACAGTTTTCTGCAAGTGTCAGACATCCATACTCGTCAAGTACTAAAGTTTGGATAAGAAAGTAATATAGTAAAAGTGAAGGGAACCATTGATATTTGTTCTGGTGACAAGTACAGTGCATAGCGACTTCTGTACATCACCTTTAAGTTATAACTTTATAAGCAGCAATGATGAAGTAGATATGCCATAAGTGTGCAACATGGTAATAAAAAGGACAGTTGCATAGTCACCACACTTCTGGGTAAGTAGAAAAATAAATGCACAGACTTGGCCTGGTGTACAACAACTTGGGAGGCAAGAACAACTCTCGTGAAAGCAACTTGACTTGCTTATCAAGATTATAATGCAAACAAACAAATAAATTTAAGTGATTGGTGTAGTGTAAAGGAATCAAATCTTATTCAAGAATGAAATCTATCTCAAAAGGTACATAAGGCTCCTATTTATAAAGGAAAGCCAAAAGTAAGGCTAACGATAATATGTATAACCGAACTAACTACCCCAACAAAGTAAACTAACTATCCTAAGTAGACTGAGCATCAAAGTAAACTAACGGTACCATGGTTACATCAGTGATACTCAATGCAAGCATTCATTAGCATAGTTTGCTTCCAACAAAGAACGTATTACCAATATGCAAGAAATATGATACAAAGGAATAAATGCAAGATGGAACCAAAAAATGCACAGCTTGATGCAATAAAACTAATGGGCAGTACCGGAAATTCAAACTTCTTATTTGCTCGAAGAAGAAGCTCAATTGCATCAGTATAAGTCAACTGCACAAAATCTTTTTCAACCAGGTTCTGTATAACATAGAAATATTACAAAAGTTATGTCAACGATGAACTGGCATAGACAGTAGGTGTAATAATGTTTCAGCAGTTATACTTATTAAATGAATATGAAAAATCATCCACGACTAGGAGTAATTGTAAGAATTCCTACATTCAGCCGATCAATAACTCCTTTCTCAATCCATGTGTTGAAGAAATCCAAGTCTTCCTTGCAGTTTTCAAGAACATGTCTCACCTAAAAACAAAAGTTTTTGTTACTCTCTAGTCAAGTAATCAAATATAGAACTTCTATTCCAAATATTTGTCAACGATTATAGTATAAGGCAACATGATAGTCAAAGGTAACATACTACATACTGGAGATATGCAGTTGCACAAGCCATGTCATCATCCAAATCAGCAAATGCAAGTTCTGGTTCAATCATCTAAAGAACAAAGTAAAAGGGTTACTTTTAGATGCTTCTTGTCACGTAAGGAAACTTGTAGAACTGAGTTGGGTATAAAGTTAAACCAGTGTGAATACTAGTTACCCAAAATTCAGCTAAATGCCTAGATGTATTGGAATTTTCTGCTCTAAATGTCGGTCCAAAAGTATAAACCTGAGAAAGATTTCAGGGCAAATTATTAGAGGTTTAAAAAAATTCCACCGTCATGTCGAAACAAGAAAGAATGCGTGGAAGAAAAACTATACATCAGATAGAGCAGTAGCATAAGTTTCAGCATTGAGTTGCCCTGAGACAGTCAAGAATGCTGGTTTCCCGAAAAAATCCTTCAACAGAAATGGGAAAAAAAATTAAATACTTACGAAGAAAAATAATAAGATGAAGTTGCAACGAGCAGTTATGACTTGTTTCATTTCTTCCATAAATTTTGATCGTGAGAATCAAAAAGATGGTTGACACATAATATAATATAACTAGATTCAAGAGATTGATCCCCAAATTAGGCGAAGCTAACTCACTTGTGACCAATCAATAAATCCCTCCTTTGTCTTGGGAATTGCACCCACATCAGAATTAGCAGCTTCTCCAGAACCTGGAATCTGTCAAAATCAGAAAATATTTTTTATTATTTTTCAAATATTCCATTGTTCCACTAAAATATCCCTCGTATAGACCATACAAATTCCAGACTTTTCTAAGTTAAAATGCCCACCAAAGTAGTCACACAGAACTGTTCACCAGCTCCTTCACAATCTGATGCCGTAATTATAGGACTTGAGATCCAAACAAATCCATTTTCTTGGAAAAACTTGTGTGTAGCATATGCCAAAGCATTCCTCACCCGCGCAACCTACACAACACCATAATATTCAAACTGATAAAATAGACAACTGTTCATATGAAATTACTAACGAAAAGCTAATAAAGAAATTTATCCGACTAATTATTTTGATCATTTACCAATTATTAGGAAACATGAACGAGACAATTAACTTGCATAAAGGATATCACAAGCTGAATATATAAGTGTTTAAAGCATGAATATACTTTCTTCGTTTGTCAATAGTTAGTGAAAAGATTTTTTTTCTACAATAAGAAACTTGATAATGGTATTGGGATAAAAGAAAAGAGGAAAAAAAACAAAAAACAAAAAAAAAAAGAAGCCAACAACCTGATGCCTGGGAGCAGAAGAGTAAACCCCCTTCCCTAGAGATTTAAAAAAAAAAAGAAAGAAAAGAAAAACCAGAAATAACTGTTCATTGATAGAAAAGTTAGATAGATAGAAAAAAAGAAATGAAGAACGAACTCAATGAGGAGCAATACAACCATAAAAAGATAAATAAAGAAAATAACAAACAATGAGTCATCAATCTAAATGATCCATGAACAGCAGCACCCAGAAACCAATAGGCTCCATTGAAACAACCCAAAAACTAAACTCTAAAATGAAATGATCCAAAAGAAACTTCCAACCACTGAAGCCACCGAAATGAAGTAGAAGCATCTAAAAAAAAACACTTACAGCTGACGGCACCCAAAGAGAAAGATCATTAAACATCAAAAAATTCTAAAAAAAGAATTCAAGGAATAGATTGTCGCTCCCTGAGAATGAACCTGATGAATTACCAAAATATCCTTGTTAATAACCAATTTGATTCTTTGCCTTCTACTACTGACTACTGTAAACCGAAGAAAAATCTTTTCCAACGGTTTTCTTTGGCATAGAAAAGGTCTCACACTATTCTTTCCCTTTCAATAAAACAGGGGAGATCAAATAAACACCTAAGTTTCCATCAATAATCAGATGAAAAGCTTCCAAAGAGGCATTAGAGGAAGCTCCATTAGCATCCCTATGAGATATCAGAATAAGAGGTTCAAATACTTCCTCCTCAAAATAAAAAATTAAATTTATCCCATTGATAACTTCAAAAATCAGGATCTAATCACTGAAAAGCCTTCCAATCATGAAGGATTAATGAAAAAAAATGAAAAGAAAATTGAAGCTACCCATCTTAATATCACAGCCATCAACTACAGTCAGACGTTACATTTTAAGATAATTTGTCATAATTAATTACCAACAGTGGTAGGGAAAGCATAATTAAAAGATTCTTCTAACAAAAAACTTAGATTACGTCAAAGGCACTTCAATTTGAGTTAATTACACAACAAGAGCATTGATATTTTGCCAAACCAAAGACCCCATTCATTCTCCTTCCGTTTATGGAATACGTGAGCATTCATTTCCAACCACAAAATCCGTACAATTGCTTTCACAGAATTCATCCAATGGTTTATTCTTTCCTCTAAATCAATGTCCACATAGTGAAAATACATTGTGTTTTCTTTTGCCAACCTATGAAAGGTCCAAGAACAATACAAGTACCTTGAAAAAATAATCTCCAACAATAATACCATATGCAGATGAAAAGAGGACGTCCTTGTGTCTCCTTTGCTCATTACATTAGAAAAGAAAAAAATAAATAACACCTGTAGTCATGTCAAAATCTTCGCCAGGAAAATATGTTCTTGAGGAATATTTTTGTTTTGGATAAGAATTATATTAACAAACCAAAAGCAAAACGAAACAACCTAAAGGCAGGGGGATGAGAGAGCCCCCCTCAACAAAAACTTTGGTTCGTTTTAGTAAATTATACAATTAAAACCTTTACTTTTCATGAGTAGGATTAGCACTCTAGGCTTGTATTCCAGAATCTAGACTGAATAGAAAACAGAACTATACCGCCCCAAAAGTGTTTGTTCTTGGACGGAGATGAGCTTTCGTTCTCAAAAATTCTCTGCTGACTCTTTTCTTTTGGATAGGATAGGAAGGATCACTCTCGCCAACCTGAAATATGGATAACATTTACATAAATAGAGAGGAAATGTTTTCTGAATTTGCACCTAGGATGCTATCAGTCATGAATGGAGTGTGAATCTAGGTATTTTCAACATTTCAACTTTTACCTCATTTAAATAAACTCTGTTTCCATTTTTATTTACTGACAGAGACAAGGAGAAAGTTACTGATGCAAGGATCCAAGAATTGTTTGAAGACCGTTCCACTTACCATGTTCACTTTTTTATAATCAAATATGTTTGATCACAGTTTATTCTGAACTCTTCAAAAACATTTTTGATATCTTATCTAATTTTTAAAAACTGCCAGAAAACTTTCTTTTCTTTTTCAAAAATCATAAATTTATTATCTAAAAACTCTAATTCCACTCTATTATTAATCTCTCTCTCATATACTTTTAATAAAATTTTCTCTATATAGTCTCTCTCACCGATCTCCCTTTACCCAAATATTCTCTTATTAACTTCTCTCAATTCACATGTTTTCTCACTAATATTTGTACACACTCAACTTCTTTGTACACACTTCCTCTCACCAATGTATCTCCATATGTGCTTTCTCCTCTTTTCCTGTCCTTGTACACAATTTCCTTTTACATTCTTGCCCGTCCCATTTGAGCAGTCCAGTTTTTTATTTTTTTTATAACTGAAGTTACAGCTTTGCTCCCGTGTACCTGGGGTACCCGCACCTACCCCAAGGCCCGAACCCCGAACCTGGGAGACCCATTTGAGCAGTCTATTAGAAAAGTCAAAATCGTGCAGCATTGAACTTTTTCAATTTAAGTGTCACGAAAGAAATCATTATTCAATAACTTTCTTATGTGGAATTTTAAATCCAAAAATAGAAATAGTTATCCAATGGACCCTTAGCTATTGTATCATTCTTTCTAGCTTCCTTTTATACACATATGCATATGGTCACTGCCTTTACAAATAAGATATTCCAACATTCTAATACCTCGTCCTAGAAATCAAATATGAACAAGCAACACATACTTGCATATTCGCACCAACTTTTTGTGTTGTTCAAATTATATATTACCTTTTGCTGGATGTATTTAAGTAAATACTGCAGTTCATAAGCAGGAAAAAATATTGTAGCCAAACCTACTTGAGCAAAAAGGATGAGAAGTACTAACCATGACCACTTTCTGCAGTTTCAGTTCCACTTTCTGTTTTGATCCTTGGCTGGCCACCACAACCCCGTGCACCCATACTGATGCACCAGTTGTGATCAAGCCAGATTCAACCTGTCAACAAACTCCAAAGCTGGAATAAGAGCACAGAGACAAGTAGATACCATATTAAAAGAAATCTTAATGCCTCTCTCAGTGTGCACAATATAATTTTTTTGAAATTATCTGCTACAGTTGATGGAGCCTCTTTTTGTAATCCTTATTATCTCTCTCAACAACAAAGAGGAAAAAACGGTTCGCCCACATACCAGTAGATCTTCAAATGTCCCTTTTTTTAATAATAAAAAAAATCTGTCTCAAAGTAAATAAAATGATCGTGAACAAATAGTAAATGGGTAAATAACTACATTCTCTATTGCCAACCGTTTGTTAACAGCTTTCATGATCATCCACCTAGAATATCAGCCACCAAAATGAGAATGAAAGAGAAAGAAGTTGATCACACTATCAGTCAAGCAAGTTAGTTGAAGAACAAATACATGCATATTTCTAACCCCATACTGTTTCTAATGACATCCAGTCTTCTCATTTTTTTTTTTTTAACTCATTTGGTTTGAAGTTCAAATCTTCAAGATGGCCATTTTATTTGTTTCAAACTATAGATATGATTGCTATCATTAATTCAAAAACAGAAATAAGAAACATTAAACAGCTATTGAAGTAACAGATTTAGCTGACTCAGGTACCTGATCATAACCTTCCGTGGTTGAATCCATGACACATTGCATATTTGAAATGCATGAACCATCATTAACCTAAGCACAAGACAAAGGAGGCATTTAAGATAATCACAATACTAAACAATATTTCTTCTTCCTATGATCCATATCCAACCCTCTCTCCAGAACTCCAACCTCATATTTCCTTCTTTCTTTTTTCCTTTTCCTCATTTAAAATTGATGTCAATGCTGGCCCTGTTTCGTATTCCCAACCTCTTTAATTTGTTATTGCTAAGACAACTTTTTTTTTCATGGAAGCAAAACAGAGCTTTAAACAAATTTACGACTATGTTGATAACAGAAACTCCACCATAGGACTGAGTTGTCCTTCAACGAAACCGAGTGACTTTTCCTTAACACACTAAGAATACCAGACCGGCCCAGAATGTTAAAGCCAGTTTCACATGAATAATGCAATCTTATCCTTCAATTCTATTAAGAATTTACCTCCTGAATGCATGCGATATGAAAAAGGAAATAGAAAAGAAACAACAAAGCTTCCTATCCTGCATTTCTCAGCCTCTAAAATCGTATCTCCCATCACGAATTGACTCTTCTTACCTCCATAAACGTAACGCTGCTCTGAAACCGAAGAGTCCGAACCCAGCCCTTCACGACCAGCGTCTGCCCGACTCTATCCAGCCCTTCATCGAGACCGCCCTTGATTTCAGACACCCTGAGCTTCTTCCTAAATTCCCCAACCTTCTCGCCCCGCGTGACCTTCCAGTCTTTGGAAACTTCAGGTTTGGTCTTCTCCACAGCTTCTCCGGACGAGAGAGCAGCAGACACAGCGCGAAAACTTCGCCGGAAAGAACCCGAAGAGTGGCGGCGGGTAATCGGCGGTAACGGAATGCTCTGCGGCAGTTTTCTTGGAAATCCGGCGATGAAGCGGAGAGTTGAATAGGGATTGAAGCGGAGGGAAATGGCCGGCGACATGGCGGCAGCCATTGAAGGCTTTTCTTAAGAAAAATTGAGTGTCTGCTACTGGTTTGTGATATATATCCACTCTCACACTCAATTGTGGAGCGGACTCCAATAATCCTTGATTCAGGCCGGAGAAAATTGGTTGTATATAGACAAATTATAAAAGAAGTATTTTATAAATTTATATAAACCATTGTTCCATCACGATATTCGAAGTCACGATCTTTCGGTTAGTTAAATTCGAAGTCACGATCTTCCGGTTAGTTGAATAATAATCTAGTGATTCAATACTTGGTAATAAGTGATATACAATGATTTATGTTCTTACCACTACTTAACGGATGAGTCGATAAAAAACGTAAAATTAAGTAAAATGAGAAGTCAATATTTTTTTATTTGAAAAAAATATTCGGAACTTTATTTTATAATCAAACTATCATTATAATCCTTAATCAACTTCAACTGTCAAAGTGAACTTAACTGGTAAGTGACATTTATCTCTAATTAAGAGGCTGTGAGTTCGATTTTCCACGTTACGCTATACTGAAAAAAACTTCAACATCCCTCCATAGAAATTGTATAATTAAAAATGTGCCAACATAAGAGTCGGGCAATTTTTTATATTTTGTTAACACTATTAACAACTAATAATTTGATCAATATAATTTGTCAACCAACCATAACTTAAACAACGTCTATTTTGTCATGAATTTGAAACCTCACCCTGTGACGCTAGAAGTTAATTATTCAATAAATACAAACTATCCAGTAAATCAAATCATTTATTACCTTGTTTGATGTTGAATGTTCGCTATCCTTAAAAACAATAAAAAATAGCTGTAAATTTTCAAAAATTATTATTATTATTTTTAAAATTTTAGTACAACAAAGGTTCTCCCTTAAAAAGAGTGTCTTTGAATCCATTAAGTATTCTAATACATTTTCTAAGTTTGTTTCTAATTGTGTAATGTAATATTGTCATTCAGTTTTCACAGTACTTCACTGGCATGGCATAACTGGAATGTTTTGAAATTATAAAAATTAAATTTTAAAAATATGAAAAAATATCAAGCACTGAAGTATATATTTAACAATTTTTTAGCTACAAATTTAAATATTACAGGTTAAATTACAAGAAAATGTCCATGAAATTTGTTATCTGTTTATTTCTGTTTTTTCATTTTCAAAAATCATTTTGAAATTTTATGTAAATTTCAAAAACAAAAAAAAAAAGTAGTTTTTAAAAATAGGTTTTGTTTTTCAAAATCTAATACTCAACTTTTTTTTTCTTTCTCATATTTATCTCTAAAAAATTTATTTCTCACTCTAAAATTTTTTTATTTCTAAATTTCTCTCTACAAACTTTCTTTTTCTCTCTCTAAAATTCTCATATTTTGAATATTTATTGTTATTTGTTTCTCTCCAAATTTTTATGTATTTTTTTTTCTAATAGACTAGTTTCATTTCTCTCTCTAAATTTAATATTTTTCCTAACTTTTTTCTCTCTAAAAATTCATATTTTATAATTTTTCTTTCTCTTCGTATTTTTTCCTCTGAAAATTATATTTTATTTTCTCGTTTAATTTTATTTCACTGTAACTTTTATTTATCATTGTATTTATTTATTTTATCTAAAAATTATATTTTGAATCTTGTTATTATCTCTAAATTTGTTTACACTATAATTTTTCTCTTTCTTTGTAATTTTTTTTTCTTTTAACATATCTTTTCCTCTCGACTTTATTTGTTTTCTCTACAATTTTCCTTTTTTTGTCTTTAATTTTTCTCTCACGATTTTTTTCTAAATCTTTTTATTTACCACTCTAAAATTTATCTTTCAAAAGTTTATCTACATCTCTCTAAACTTGTATTTTCATGTCTTTACATTAGGGAGAAGACAAAAATTTCTGCAAGGTCGGATCCAATAAATAAGAAATGCATGTCCTGACCCTGTCCCCGTCCCCGGTTCCATTTTTTAAATAATTAATATATATTTATTACATTTTTTTTATACTTAAATTCTAAAAATTCTTAAAAACACTTATAAAACTGATAATTTTTTTTTAGAACATCTCTCGGACCCAAGAACGAGGTAGAGACGAAGACTAAAAATTTTCATGAGTACGAGAATGGGGGAGAGCATTCTCACTCGCACCCACATCATTATCATCTATACTCTACATAAAATTTTCTCTCTCTAATATGTATTTTCAATTTTCTAACTTTTTAAAAACAAAAAACTAAAAAGGGTTACCAAACATGTTTTGGTTTTCTGTTTTTTAAAAACAAAAAACAAAAAATGGTTATCAAACATATATAGTTTTTGTTTTTTAAAAACAGAAAACTAAAAACCAAAAACTAAAAACAAGAAAAACCAAAAACTAAAAACAAGAAAAACCAAAAACTAAAAACTAAAATGGTTATCAAACGGGCCCTAAACGTTTCAACAATATTCTTGAGCAGTCATTGGTTAAAATTTTGAATGTAAAGTTCACCTAACGGAATGTGGAACTACATGACAATTAATCTCTTATATTGACTTTAAAGGTCTTATTTTTCTATTGCGAGAGTTAACCTCTCTATTGTCTACAAAAAGTTGTCCTAAAATATATTTTAAAAACAAKAATTGTGATGTTCTCTATCAAATTTTTGTCCAAAATATTGACGAATTTATGTTGAAATAGTATTTTGAAAATATTTATAAAGTATCAATAGTAGTATTATAACATTTAAAAGGAAATAATGAGTATTTTCTTTTCTAACAATGTATGAGATCATCTTTTTTTTTACAACAATATATGAGATTAAGGATGAGACTCAAATATCGGAAAAATAGTAGAATGGAAAAGTTTTTTTTACTTTAGCCAATATTCTATTACAATTCCTGCCCAATTTCTACCAATCCAATAGAATATACATGCAGTAATTTGCAACTCGATAAAAAATTTGGTGATAGTTTCATCGAGGTCAACGAGTCAAATCCAATATGGAACGGCAACCGTTCGATCGATTTGCTGACAACAATTCTGCACACCGTGTTGGTTACACCGCCAAATAATTTGTGGGCATTTTCATTTCCTTCCCGCAATCTACACCCATTTCCCACTTCTGCAACTTCCTACCACTGTCTCTGCCCCCATCAATCTCTCGAAAACTGGGACTAAACCGATAGAGCCACCGAAAATCTTCAAAACCCAGTTCAATTTCAATCCATGGCTGAACATCCTGATGATTTACACGAACTTCTTGACAGTATGCCTTCAAAAACTCCTCTAATCCGTAGTTGGGTTTCGTTTTTTTCCGTTGTTCTTTTCGTTTTTTACGAATTCTGTTCGAATTGTTTCAGGTGCTTTGGACGATTTTCAGAAATTCGACCTCAATCATTCCGTTTCGAGGTTTTTCAATCAATCTCTGGTAGAACCCTTTTGTTTCTTGTAACGTATTTCGTCAGTTTGTTGATGTTCTTAGTTCTGTGTTCTTGTAGAAGTGGAGATGGGGCGGAGAGTAGAGCGGCTCCCCCTTCTGGGGTTCAAGGTTTAGGGATGGGATTGCCTGACTTGAGGAGCAAGAAAAAGGGGAAGCAGAAGGTTTCGAAGGAATCGCATGTCTCCGAGTCTCTGGATAAACTCAGAGAGCAGACTAGAGAGGCCGTCAAGGGACTTGAATCGGTGACTGCTCCTAAACCTGGTGGTGACGATTTTGGTAAAGATGCTATGATGGAAGATTGGGTGAAGCAGTTCGAGGAGATGACTGGCACTCAGGTACACTGTTAAAATGTTAATTTGCCTCTAACTTACATACTTTTCCTAGTTTTGAATCTTTTGAACAATGTTTTATAATCTTAGAGTGATTGGATTCTGAGTGAGGGTGAGTTTGATACTTGGAAGAGTGAAAAGTACTTTAGCTTATTGCTTATAAAAGTACTTTTAAGATTTTTGTGTTGTTTGGTCCATAGTTAAATGTGTTTCTTCTAAAAATGATTACAAAAGAAGCGCTTCTGACTCACTGTAAGGGATAAAGATGCTAGGAGTTTCATAATTCCAATTGGTTCATTAACTTATATCACATTCACATAACTTGTTGATGTAAGCCCCATTTGCCCTCTTTGTAAGGTTGGGCATTTGGCCCCGAATCCCCTCGAAATCTTAATTCATTTCATTGTCAATTAACTCATGTCATCTCACTCGATTGCTTTTGCAACATTTCTGAGAATACAGATAATACGATGGTTACAATTTGGTTGCTTATTCTTGGCATTTCCTTCATAGAGTCATGAAGTCTGTTGCTGAATGTTTTCTTCCTCATTTTTCAGAAGCCAAATATCTTCCCTAGTTCCCTTTTGATTGAAACAGTCAAGTGTCAATATGTTTTTTGGTTATCCTTGATCATATCTTGTTGTAGGTCCTCAACTATCGAAGATTTTGCCTTCAGACATTTTGCATTCTGAGATGTGTAGTGCAGTTACACGGAGATTTTCACTTATATTAGAGGAATGTCAATTTTTACATAATAAGTTTTCTGTAGTCGGTCACTGCTATGATGCTTTATTAATACACTGCTGTGAGAGATGACTTTGTACCCCATCGGTGAGTGCATTAAATGGATATTAGGTGCTCTGAAATACTGGAGAATGGTCTAGGTGCACATATCTCTCAAGTTTAACTTTTTATGTAAAATAGTTAGTTGTATTATTGATTTCCCAACCATCTTTCTTGCATCCTTCATCATTTATATATATTTTTGTGATCTATGCATTATTTATTTATTTATTTTGTTAATGGTGTGAATAATGACCTCTTTTATCTTTGTTTGATGCATGAAAAACTATTCTTAAAATTGAGATTGATGGCTATTTTGTATGGGTAGTATTTGATGATTTCAACTAGACCAGTTTGGACATTGAAGAAATAGCTTTATTTCAAATTGGAGGTTAAACCACTGAGGGGAACTGGGAAGCAAGTAGAAACCCCTATTCTGCAAGTAAGAAGTGAATAGGAAAAGGCTTAGGGCTTTCTTCAATCAATTTTTTTTTTCTGGTAGTCTTAGTCCTGAGCTCCATTTCAGGGTTCTGCATTGAAATCTAAAACCCTTTCTGTTATCCTTTTTTTAGAATTAAAGTAATGTTAAGATGTTTGATTATTCGTTCTGTAGGATTGTAGAGAGAATGTTATAATGAGTTGGTTGTGGCTTTAAAACTTTTCCCCTTTATTAATAACGCTTAGCACATAGCTCATAGCTCAGTGGAAACTTTCATGGGAAATGCCCACACTGTCTAATTCTTACTAGAGTCTTTTTTATTCTCAGGGTATTGGGATAGCCCTTTATTAATAACGCTTAGCGCATAGCTCATATCTAAGTAGGAATTTTTTTGGGGAATGTCCACACCATCTAATTCTTACTAAGAGTCTTTTTGATACTCGAGGTATTGGGATCTCACTCCTTGCACTTTTCCCTTGGATTCATAACGCCTGGTGTATAGCTCATAGCCAAGTGGAAATTTCATGGGGAATGTTCACACTATCTAATTCTTACTAGTATTTTTGATACTTGTGCTATCAGTATCTCACCGCTTGAACTTTATGCTCCTTGCTCACTCCCATTAATTCTTTAAGGAGGCTTCACCCACCTCAAATACAAAGTTAGGTTGAGGAGACAACATAGGTTTTAGTTTACCCTATGATGACCACCTACCTTAGGAATTAGTAATTTCTATGTGTTTCCCGGCACCAAATGTTGTAGGGTCAAGTGGTTGTCCTGTGAGATTAGTCGAGGTGTGCATCAGCTGGCCCAGACACTCACGGATATTAAAAAAGAAAAACATAGGTTTTAGTTTTCAAGTTGGGGTCAACATCTCAAGCCCTTTGTCATTAGGGCATTCCTTTGGGGTAATTTTTGGTGGAGTTTTGATAATTATTTTTTCTATGCTAATCTGAACAATAAGTTTATTTTGGCCATTTTTTCATGTTGGTTGAAATAGTGAGTATATTTTCTCATTTTCTGTTACTAGTTTTTTTCTGTGTTACTTTGTGTTTTCTTCAATCAAATTCTTACCATGAACTTTAACATGCACTGTTTCTTCAACTATAGGATATGGGATCCCTTGTTGAGACCATGATGCAACAACTTCTCTCCAAGGAGATCCTCCATGAACCAATGAAGGAAATAGGAGAAAGATATCCTAAGTGGTTGGAGGAGCATAAAGCGAGTTTGAGCAAGGAAGAATACGAACGCTATTCTCACCAATATGAACTGATAAAAGATCTCAACGTTGTGTACGAAAATGAACCCAATAACTTCAGTAAAATTGTTGAGCTCATGCAGAAAATGCAAGAATGTGGTCAGCCACCAAATGATATTGTGCAAGAGCTTGCACCCGATGTCGATTTCGCTAATCTTGCACAACTGTGAGTATACTCTACCCGCGATCGTCAACTACTTACCGTCCTTCGTATGTCTCATTTATCTTGTAGTGTTTCTTATAAACATATCGCAACTTTGTCTATTCTTTGTAACTATACCCACTAGTCAATAGCCATTTTGTTTTCGGTTTCTGTTTTTGAAAATCGAGTTTATTAGCACTCCTTCTACCTACTGAGTTTCTTTGTTTTGTTATCTACTTTTTCAAACCCGTTCTCAAAATCTAGAGCCAAAATTTGAAAACCAAAATATTTGGACTATTTTGAATTAGATTAGCTGAATCTAATCTCTCTGTGTGTGCATGCAGATCTCCAGAGATGTTAGAGTCTCAGACAAATTGTTGTATAATGTGAGGTAAAGTGCTTTTGGATGCTCTGATTTGTGCTGCTTCTTTCCATTTTATTCTCAAATTTGCTTAGAAATATTATGGTCTCTAAGAAATTACTTTGTCCAATAATCATTGTGTTCAATTTCAATGTTCAGTTGTAGTTTAGTGTTATAATCCTTTTATCATCAATAGGGAGATGGATCAATCTTAGATTCTGGGATAGTATCTGAAGTGGTCTCTACCAAATAAAAAACAGATTCTACATATTACTGCATTTCTTTTTGGAAAAAATAGTAATAATAAAAGAAAATGAGATATGAATGAGGGTTTTTTTTTTTTATTTGATTCCAAAATTTTATCTGTATTCCATTTTGGTTCTTAAACTTCTGCACGTGGTAATATTATTCTGGTTTAGCAAAAAATTGTTATAGGAATTTTCTTTTTATTTACATGATAATTACATATATGGACTGGTGTGTAAAATCATATGTAATTGATGGGTTTGTGTTGTTGTTAAATGATGTGTTATGGGAAATAAGTTCACTCTCATTTTGCAACATTAAGGTTATTTGTTTGAACAAATTTTGTTTCAAGATGAGCCTAGTTCTTATGGTCGTGCCACAAATATTAAGATCGAGGTTAGAGAATCCTTTTTTGAATGGATAATACTTTCTGATTATCCGGGCAGTTGGAAGTTCACTACTAAGGTCCTATTTATTTACTAAGAATCGAGATGAAATCAATCTAACATGATAATGTTATTTCTTTGCTGTTGTTTATTAGAAATTTTTTGGCTTTCGAATGTTTTAATTTTTCAAATGAATACACCACAGAATGCAACGAAAGCATGTTGTTTTTTATGATTTATTTTAAATGACTCTTAAAGAAAGTTAACTATGAACAAGGATATTATAATTATTTTTTTTATAACAAAATTAGTATTATTGTTTAAGAAAGAAATAAGACAAATTAGTAAATTTAAATGATAAACTTCTAAATATATTTGATATTTGTAAGAATTATCTAAAATGAAATTTTAATAAATAAACAAATGAGGGACATAGTTTAATAAATATAGGGCTTATTTGATAATGTTTTCATTTATTCTTCTCATTTTCACTTTGCACGTGTTTTTAGTTTTATTTTAGCTTATTGAAAATAAAGTTTAATAAATTTAATTAAATGTCATTATAAACTATCTAAATAAAATTAGTTATATCATTATCAGTGAAGTGGGTGAATATATATTTTAAATTTGTATCCTCGTTGGTTGAGATGATGTGTGTTAGAAAAAGTGTAGGGTGTAAGTCAATAGTATGAAGAAAAAAAAAAGAAAAAAAATACATAAAAGTATAATATAAATAAATAAATAAATAAAACATGATGTGTTAGGCTATTGTGCTATGCTCTTCATAGTTGGAGTGGAGGGAAGTTCTATCACTATTAAAATTCTAAAAATTTTAATTTTCATTATTAATTAATTATAATATTAAGAATAATAGTATCGGTGTGGTAAGAGTCAGCCAAACTTTTGAGATTCCAAAATTTTGTATATTAATAGATTAAATATAATTAACGGGTTACGTCTATGGAATTCATTTATTTAAATTAGGATAAAACCTTTCATATTACATTTTATGTGTTAAGTTAAATTATTATAATTGGATAGTTTTTAGTAATTAATTGTGAGTACATGCTTTTTAAATTAAAATTTTTATTGAGAAACAAAATTGTCTAAAAAACATTGGTTTTTTCCAAACTATTTTCCATAGTTATGAATTTTAAAATTATTTTAAAAAATGACAAAACTTTCTTATATTCAAAACTAAGACTTTCTTATTTTCCACAGTTATGAATTTGAGGGTTGGCTCATAAATATTAGGACGAGAAATAAAGTAAAACAAAAAGTAAAGTAAAATAGTTACGAATTGATAAATGACTTTACAAAAGCAAAATAAAGATAGATCTGCATTATCTTCAAGCATCTTCCGACTCTTCATTGGGAAAGTAGTTTGATGACGTCTCCCAACTTCCACTCATTCGCAAGGTCGCCACTCAAGGGTTTATAAACAGTAACTCCTCTGAGATTAGGGATGAAGAACTACGGATTTAGAAAACGGCTATCCATCGCTTGAAGTTGCCACCTTGCATCCCACCGCAAAAGCATCTCTTCGGAGTTTCAATAGATTTTCCTTGACAATTTGTATAAGCAAATGTTGTGACTCTCTGTGATAAAAACTGCAAAATTCTATGGTCTTGATCAATTACCGTCTTGAATGAAGCTATTTCAGTCATGTTATGGCAAAAAGCATATTACTATTCTGGTTATCCCATTCTCTCCTCCTTTTTCTCTTATGCTTTCAAAGTTTCTTTCTAAGCTTTTTTCGCTCTTACTGAAAAAGCTCTAACTCCCACTTCATCAAGCAAGAAACTCATGGAAGAACTCCAAAACAATGGAGAAATCATCAATCATGGTGTTACAAGCAAAGATATAGCAAGGGTTGAAGAAGCCCTTGCTCTCTGGTCTATTTCTCATGTTCCTAAAATGGAAGTATATCATATTAACACCTTTAATTTCGGTCAAAAGAATGTTATTGAAATTGTGGGGAAGAATCTCCCTATCATGAATTTACAACCCTAAATTTGCTCACTCGAAAGACAATTTAAGAGCATCGAGCAAAATTYAGATATCTTCATTTTGGGTACATTCAGGTTGTTGTCAATCCTTTATTTAAAAGAGGTTTAAACAATCCTGTTTACATAGCCCTAAGAGACAAGAGACATATGGAATTTTTCGATTCTCTTCTAGGTATCGTTCAATCAAACCTTGAAAAAGGACCAGTTCACTTCGGGTGCAGACCAAGATATAACATCGCACTTGATGATTTTCATATCTTAAAATCTCTCACTCTAGATATTAAATCTAAAGGTTTAAATCTAGAAGAAGGAGCCATACCTTACTCTATTATATTTAGTGTATACTACAAGTTACTTCATACCAATTTAGACCCAAGAGCCTTTGACGTCTCCCCTCAAGGACAAACTATGCTCATGGAAGTTAACCTCTAGAGATCCTTGGTTACCGTTCCAAAGCTTTTCCAATGGGAGCAAATTACTAAAAATCTAGTATGGAATTTAGAAGGTGCAACGAAGACTTTTAAAAGACAACCAACTGTAGTCAGAATCAGAGAACATCTTGATGGATCAGTCAATGTTTACTTCGAAGAAGAAGAACCACAGTCAAAGGTGAGAGAGTTCATACAAAGCAGACCAAGCACGTCTGCATCCAGACCTCTGAATCCAAAATAACAGTTAGACAAATCTGCTTAATTTAGGTGAAAATGAGTGGATTTTGGAAAACCAATCCCTAATATTCATTATGAAAGATTTGAAGGATATTTATCCCCTACTCAAACATATATGGATACCCGAACCAATAGAGAATTTCATATCAACGTCATAACGCAGGACTTCCAATATAATTGAGAGATTCTCAAGCGAGATATTTATACCCCATAAAACAAAAGGGTTAGATACACCTTCTTTACATTCGGGAAAGAAGCTCAACAGAGCTTTAGAGACCAATGGATTAAAGAAATGAAACGTCTAAAGATTAACCTACCGTTTTCCAAAGGGGGAAAATACCGTAATGATTATGTTGTAGCAAAGACAATTGCTGATTGCTGCCATACCTAGAAATAATTCTTTTAGAGGTGATACTAAGCAAATCAACGTTCTTAAAGAACAAACATGGAAATGCTCAACCGGAGTAGTGGTCCAAGCTACCCATCCTCCTGAAGAAGCATTTGAATTCCTCCTGCCAAGAACTGTTGACAAAATGGTAACAACATCTCCTTACAAGATGATTGATGACCTAAGGCTTATGAGTATACTTACAGTACTCCAATGACATAAATAATTCTCTAGTCAAGATAATGATTGAATACAAACAAAAGAGATAAGAATTATGGTTGATAGGACAAGATCCTGATTGACAATCTTATCTCGTTAGAATCTACTTTATAAAAAGTAAAGATAAGACTAGTAGACAAGATAGAACAGATCCCTATCTTAAAGGAATATTATCTTTAAAGAGGTAAGAAAAATAAATAAAGTAAAGTAAAAAGTATAGTAAAATAATTAAAAACTGACAAATAACTTTACAAATGCAAATGCTTCCATAACTGTTATAATTCTAAAACTTTTAAATTTCATTATTAATAATACTGGTGTATTTTAAATTTTGAAAACCTAAAAAAATCTAGAAAGAAAGAAGAGCAAAAGAAAAAACATAGAACTCAAATTGTTGTATAAAATAAGTGAAAAAGAGTCCGAGCCGCAAAACTTTTGAAATTCCAAAATTTTTTATATTCAAAGATTGAATATAATTAGAGTTATAACTATGGAATCGATTTATTTAAATTACGATAAAACTTTTCATATTATATTTTATGTTTAATATAAATTAATATAATTTGATAGTTTTTAGTAATTAATTGTGAGTACATGCTTTTTAAATTTAAATTTTTATTGAGAAACAAAATTGTCCGAAAACATTGATTTTTTCCAAACTATTTTCCATAGTTATGAATTTTAAAATTATTTAAAAAAAATAACAAAACTTTCTTATATTCAAACCTTTCAAACCTTTCACATTTATATCATCTCAATTTTACGAATGGATTTAATTATTAATTTTAATTTATTTTTATACTTTTATTTCTTTAAACATTGTTTAAACATTAAAAGATTATAACTTTTGAAATTCTATTATTAATATAAAGATAAAGTCATTAATAGTAGAATTATTTTTTAGGCATAAATTGATAACAATTTTATTTTCAAACTTGTCACATTCTTTTCCGATTTTATGAATGTATTTAGATTATTTTCAATGTGTATCTGAAGTACTTATAGTTAAAAAAAWTTTTGTTTTAATTTCAAAAATTACTATACAATTTTATAAATATTTTCAAAAAAATATTAGAAACAAAGAATATAAATGTTAGCAAATGCTTTTTCTCAATAAAACTAAAAATAAAAATAAGAAACAAGAGAAAAAAACATAAATGTCACCAAACACATCCTTAATAATTGAAGTGCCGTGCTAATATTATGATGGAAAAAGAATAAAATAAGCATAAAAATGAAGGTCCCAGATCTCACTTTTTAAAAAGTCCAGTAGAATAGACATTTTAAAAATAGATTAAAATAAACAAAAATTAAAAGAATCGAAAATGAATGATTAGAAAGTAACAAAAATGAACCAAGACAAAAAAAAATACACTACAAACGTAGTATTAAACCCTAAGTTAAATTTATGTCCCCTCCAACCTCAAGCGCAATAATATAAAGTTGGTCCAAAGAAAAAAAAGAATAATAATAAAATCAAACTCAAAATATTTTGTGGATATAAATTTATGTATAATTTAAATAAACAATATTCCATGAA